CTCTCTCTGTCACTGTCTCTCTCCCTCTCTCTCTGTCACTGTCTCTCTCCCTCTCTCTCTGTCACTGTCTCTCTCCCTCTCTCTCTGTCACTGTCTCTCTCCCTCTCTCTCTGTCACTGTCTCTCTCTCCCAGGTCTCGGTCTCCACGGCGTCGCTCTCCGGTTCGTCGCAGGTCTCGTTCGCCCGGCCGCCGGCGGCACCGCTCACGCTCTAGTTCCAACTCCTCTCGCTAGTGAACAAGAGAACTCCCCCCTCCTCCTCCTCCTCCCCCGTCACTGGATCTGCTCCTCTGCTGTGTCCTCAGTGTGAAACGTGGTGAATCATGAACCATTTCATGATGACAGCATTCACAGCGCAATCATTGGATGGTAGCCCAACCATCATATATTGACCTCATGTCAGCATGGAGGAAATCCTCTTCCGTGCTCAGATTATGGACGTGTCTGTGTTGTCATCGCTGAACCCGTCTTAAAAACATCCTGCAGGACATTTATGGCAATCGGTATTCTCTGAAATCCACCTGGCACGGCCCAGAATAATAGTGTAATAACATACTATTACTACATTACAGATGTTAAATGGTGCTACTAGTCATAATTTGGGTTTAAATCAGTACTGTGCTTTTAGAACCGCCCCTTCTCTAACCCTGCTGTTTATTTGTGAGTGATTCTCCAGCATTACCACTCATAGTCAACTACAAGGGCAGCTACACGAGTGAAGTACCAGTTAGCACCATGTGTCTGCTTCAATAGAAATCTGAAAATAACACAGTCGTTATTTCATTGTCAATAAAATGAGGTCAGAGGGTAGTTGTGTTATTACTGGCACATCAGGATTCCGGTTCTTCTTTTTCCATCTAATTTTTTATTGTGTCACACTGTGACCTTCTGATTTAGACATTTGTGGTTTTAGTTTTTCCCTTGAATCTTGTTTTGTATAGCTGGCTTATAGAGTGAAAATAAAATCATGTTTTGGACTGTAAAAAAAACCTGTCGGACTCAAATACATTACACCATTTTTCAATACAGTATGTTGAACCTTTTATCTTTCTAGGAAGGAGCATGAGTGTTTTGCATTGCAGGGAAATGTCAGTGTGCCACACCTCTACCCCTGAATGTAGAAATACTCATTCCCAGCAATTCAAATGCAGTAGAAATCAGCTGATCCTGATCAGACATACCAGAAATAAAGGAGCGATCTGGCAAAAACACTATATATATATATATATATATATACACACATTTCTATTTCCTGGTGATTTTTAAGCCGGCGGCTTGCAGCTTACAGTGCAAACTACGCTAAAGTGCTGACGGATCTAACCGTCATTTGCCGACAGATAGACGAGATGATCGATCCCACTCGTGTCTGTGTGTTAATTATGGAACTGGAGCTGATTAGCGTAGCTTAGCTTAGCATAAAGAACAGCAAGTGTGTTTATCCCCACGTGTCCAAAGTTCAAGAATAGGCCTGCCAGTGCCTCTAATGCTCACTGTTTACCGTGTCATATCTGATTTGTTTCATTCATACAAAAATCTAAACTTTGAAACAGCCAGTTGAGGTTTTAGAGGAAGTTATGTGCTGTCACAATTTGTGGTGTAAACATTGTCTCATTTATCTTTTGGCATGAAAGACAATAAGTGGATTCCCTAAATGTCTCACTGTTTTCATGGGTTAGGTACATTAGTTATTTATAAAACAACCTTGTTGGTCTCTTGTCTATTCAAACATGTAGTTTTATCACTGTTGGAGAACCAATGCTATCGTGGGGACCCAAGCTCCAGCTGGCTCCCAAGAAGACAGGAAGAAGTCTGGAGAACACGCTCTTACTTTGAAATTCACGGCAGAGAAAAATGTATGAAGAAAACATTGTCTTTATACTCACCAGGAAAGACACATAACGTCACAATAACTTAACATTTTGGGACACAAACACTGATTTCTCAAGCACTGCTCCAGGTTGGAAGTCCTTCGTTTGTTTGACCCTCCCTGAACTGAAAACAGTGTATCTTTCTATATATAAGACATGTTCCTCTTTCTATGAACTTCTAGTGTGTCCTGTTATTACAAAACAGCTGTCCGACCATGTTTCCAGCTCAAATATTTAAGTTGTAATATATTCTATGTACCTGTTAAGGCAGGCTTGTGTTTATTTCTTCATAATGCATTTTTTTCCGGATGATACGAGCCCGTCAATCAACCTCTGGTTCTCATTGTGATCAGGTGATCAGGCTCGGGATGAATTGTAATCACTTTGACAATTCTCTCACTTTTTTATCAGGTTCAATTTCAATTTGTCCAATTTGACAAATAACAAATACATTCAAAACGAATGAAATGGCCATCATCGTAGACACACCAATGGGAGGGTTTCCACATTTTGTTAAAGTTAGCCATCTTGGAGTTTAGTAGTCAGTAAGTCTAGTGGAATATGTCCCAGTCCACAGACAGTGGCAGCCTTGAATTCATTGAAGTAATATATGTTTCCTTGGAAAAGAATGTCAATATCTGAACATCTGTTTTCCATTCAAAATTTGAATTTTAATCAATATATTGTATTATTTTAGATGCTTTAAAGGCAAAATAATGCAGAAGTGTGACTGACATGTATTTGTTTCATTATATTTGAGAGTAGCCCCAACACATTATAACAAACACATTACAACTATACTGCCGGTGAAGCTACAGGCACTACCTGCTACTACCTTTATAACTACTGCTGGTCCAAAAACAGAGGACTGAGCGATACAGAAGCTCTGAAAAACACAACCGTAAAAACAAAAGTCTGACTTCAGTTTGAACCTTTCTACTTCCTGTGGTGAGCTCATCCTGGTGACTCAGTAACAAAAGATAAGTCTCTGTTGAAGGACTGTGTTTTGGGGGTTTTGGTTTCTGCTGTTGTGGCACAGGTATGGCTGATGGGGCAGTTGGAGCAGAGGATGTAGTCTGGGAGGGAGCAAGCATAAACAGGAATGGAGAGAGGGGAAGTGTGTTGGGAACTGTTGGAACCACAAACAGAAGAAGGGGCTTGTGGGAGAAATGAAACTAGAGGCGTGAAGGCAAGTCCTGCAGCTGGAGGCTTTGGGTACAGCGATCTCTGTGCTGGCTCTCTTTTGCTGGTCTCTGCCTGGCCTGCTGCTGCTCTGTGGCAGGAGGAGATAAACACATCAGCCTGTTCAGGGAAAACAGCAGGTCAGCCCTCCAACAGCCAATCCAGATGTTTTGGCCACCCGTCCCTGCAGCTGTCCCTGAGCACACATACCCTCTACGACAAACACTCCGCCTCCTCATACACATGATTCAACAGATGTTTGCTCAGTGAGTTTCCTGAATCAGGCTCCATTATTCACCACCACTGCTACTACTACTACGTCTCCCTCCAGAGTGACACCAGGAACCCAGGATGGCTTTTTACAAAGTGTGTCTCGTGTATTTAACTGTGTTGCTGATTCTCCCTGAACAAGGTGAGTGTGGCTTTACTAGTGACTACTAATAGAGTCTTTTAATGGCGGCTGAGAAGAGCAAGCTGAGTGTGAAATAGCATGGGTATAAGCACAGATTGAATTAGAACGAGAGGGCTGATCACTCCACTTATATCACTCTCAACCGTCATCCTTTAGTCATGTTCATCTCACCTAATTTAAATGGAGAACGAGATCATATGAAATTGTATAATATAAAAAAAAAAGCTAATTGGATAATACGTTTTATTTTCATACAGTGACAGTATGTATCTCAGCACTGGCAATGCTAAATGTTAGGATTTCTTTGCTAAATGGATTTTTGGTTTGTTATCCATCAAATTTTGAGGCAAATAAATAAACAGATGCGGATTGAGGCCTGCACAGGACTTTAGAACAGTGTGAATGTGTCCACACTCAACATAAGATAAGATATACAGATTCTGTATGTTTTCTGATTCTGAGAAATCCTCATGTAGCTGGAGGGAAAACAAGAAAGTTCAATCATGGTGCAAGTTGTGTGTTCAAACAGAATGATATATTAGTTTTAGAGGCGGCGTCATTGCATTCAAAGTTAATGAAAAGACACAAGTAGACACAAATGTATGTGTGTATTGAAAATGTTTCAATTTTTACAGGGGGGAGCAAATCCCGGGCTAGCTTGCTTGCTGCTTAACTTTAGCTATTTTGCTAATCCCAAACTAGCTTGCTGAGCTAGCTGCCTTAGAAGCATTGTTTGTACAGGCATTGTCTGCGGTTTATACAAGTTGTAGACATTTTAACTTTTTGAAACATAAAAAAACGTCAGTAAATACCACACCCATGAATTTTTAAGCTTTTATGTGTATTAAACATGGCGGTTGATAACAAAAGGCCTAAACATCATCAAGCCAAACACTAGTCCGCCTTTAGCGTTGTAGTCGTAGCGTTAGCTTTTTAGCTCTGGCGATTGCGTTTACTCTTGTGAAGATTGTCTTGCTGAGCGAAGCATCCTAGTATCATACACTTTTGTTTGCCACAGTGCTTATTTTCTGCAATACTCCAAAATCCAATGGAAGTCCATATCTTCACAGCTGCAACACAGCTATTCCAGCTGTCATTCAGTTTGTCTGTTCCTGGCATGACTCACACTGAGGACCACAGAGACTAAGAGTCAAAGGGGAAGAGATTGAATCCACGCCCTCATTCTGTCAATACACTTCCCAGATTTGTGTTCTTCCTCAGAATATTTTCCCTCACGCAGTCTTAATAATGTTACTGATGTTATTTTCTGTGTTTGTGTGTTTTTTTAGGCCGTCCTGAGTGTTACAGCCCTTGGCCCAGAAGTGCAGGATTTATCGGTCCCCCCTGCTGTTCGATCGTCTCAACGGCCTTCATTAAAGACGCTTTTGTTTCCTGCTTTGAACAGAAAGAAAGCACTACTTCTTCTCACTGTAGACTACACGCATTCATGTAAGGAAGAGTATTCATTCTAACCCAGGCCTCATTTCGTGTCAGCGTTACGGGGTGTGGCTGGTCGACTGTTTCGTTCGACCCGTTTTTGGAGAAAATATCCGATAGGCCTTCTGTACGTTACCTTCCCAAACAGGCAACGGGATATTTTCGTCAGGGTTGGGTTTAGCACTCACTTACTGTATATTACAGCCACTAGGAGACAACATCAAAGGTCAGTCAAATTAAACTCTAACCGAAGAACAAGTTGGAGGTATCTGTGCCCAGGAGCAATTATTTTCAAACAAATATTGAATTGTTTCTGTGTCCCATTTGTCTTTGCTACTCCAGTTTTACTTCCGTGAACAGAGCACACTACTGTGTGGATCCAGAAGCCAAGTGGCTCAGCATAAGATTACAAAAGTTACAAAACGTAAGTTTCAAAATAATTAATGAGCAAATCTTGATTTTGATCTTTTTTTTTAATACAATTATAATTTGTCCCATACTCCATATTCTCACAATAACAATACTCTTAACATTTGCAGGAAAATCAAATGTGTCATGAATGGAAGAAACACATTTTCCACGTATTAACCTGATGTTGACCTATTTTCTCCACAGAGGGGGATATGTTGCCACCTTCTACAGTCACAGTGACGATGTTGCATCACGACGTTGACTCATAAAGCCTCGCATTTACCGAATTTTATTTTTTTAAATCTTAATTTACAACTTGTAAATGTGACAAAAATGCCCATTGTTTTTCACGTCAAGATATTAACTATAAATATGACTTTGCAGCAGTTTTAACATGGCCACTACAATAAGGTCTTTTTTACCGTATCGTGCCTTTAAGGACAAGTCTGGTGGTTTTTCTATATTTTTCCTGATGAGTGATTGCCATGAAAAGACCAACAGTGAGTGATCCTACTAACAAGTATTTCTTGTGTAGCCAACCCTGATAAAGTATTGTACTTTTTCCAAGTTCTTTTTTTTAAAGTTGTAGACTCTGTTTCAGAGGACAGTTTAATTGTATAATCCTTAAAGTTGTAGTGAAATTGCAGTTAGGACATCTTTAGCTTCTATCGTGTGGCATGGTACAATAGATTTAAATCTGTTGTGTGGTTTATATAGGATGGTCTGGTTAAATACTCACTCTGTATCACATTTGATTTGATACTTTCTTACTCACAGCAAAATAAATTAAAGAGATTCTGATATAAATTGTATTTTATTTTTTTTTTATGGATTTCTTATTTCACTTATGTCTTCAATGAAGACATTAAAGACCACTTGTATCCCAACTAACTGATCATCATGGAATAAATCTGCCAGCAGATGTCCCCATTCTGACTGTATCACATGATAGAGTCACTTTAGTTCAAATACTATATATATATATATATATATATATATAACATTACATTTTATATACACACACACGGAGGACTGCTACAATTAGTTTGTTCTCTGTAACAAACTAAGAGCCCAATATAAAAACCACAAAGTCCTCCTGCTAGCCCACATTCTCAAAGTCTCTGGAGCCATTCCTCCCAGCTTCACTCATCTCAGTCTTTGCCCTTAATCTGCTTTTGTAGGACTCGTGTTGCCATCTTATTAACAACAAAGGCTTCGGTACGTTCAGTTCACAGCAACACCATCCTTCTGTATTTGTTTTCCCCCAAAACAACGGCTGTGGTGGAGGAGCAGATCAGGGTTTAGGGTCTGTGTCTGCTTGGCTGGGAGGAGGATCCATCATGTCCTTGAAACCCAGTTTGGTCAGGGGCTCCTTGGCCATCAGCTGACTGGAAGAAAACACACAAGACAGCAACGACATTAGCGTGTTTAACTGTATCGAGTCACCAGACATGGGGATGAGGAGGAGGTGCATGGAGCTTCTCACTTGTCCATGCGGCATTCCAGGTAGTCTTTGGACTGCAGGCGGCACAGGGAGTTGTCGAAGTTGTTGTTTCTCAGGCATTTCATAAACGTCTCCTTCAAGGCCTTACACTCTCCTGAAATAAGGCACAGCAGCGGGCCATGGCGTTAGCACATGGAGCAAAATATGACCAAGATATCTCTAGATTAAAATGTAAAAAAACGACTACTAGCTCATGTATATCAAAGAGCTCTCGGAAGAAGGAAGACGGAAGCAAAAGGAACCTAGACAAGCATTATTCAGCCGCCACAGACAGGACAGTCGGTGTCCTAGCTTACCGAAATGATCCAGAGGGAACGCGCCTTTATCGGGAGCCCGAGGTTTGAAACTCTTCGACCCAAAGTTCATGGCGGTAGACATGTTGTTTTTGTTGTTGTTTGTTTTTCTTTTCAAATAAAAAAGAAGCTGCTAGTCTGCTGTAAAGGACTCAAAATACAAAGTCCGCAGCGACACAGCTGCGTGACCCTGTTGTCGAGTAAATATGACGCTGCGGTTCGCCTCAGACATCAGCAGTCGATTCAATCGCATCGATCGATCGGGTTTTCGACTAAATCCAAATGCATTCATAAAGAAACAACACATCGCAAACACAAATGAATATGAACACTATATTAACTAAATATAAACTAAATTGGGTTTATTTTTCTTATTTATAAATCTGTGAGATTGGGCTGACAATTGATTTGACAACACCTATTCTGATGAGAGAGAACCACAAAGCCCAGAAAAAGAAATAATTACCCTGTGTAAATTAAGGGAAAGCCTGCTGATAATACACTATATGACACAACATGGCCCAGTGATAAAAAAATGAAACAGGAACATTATTATTATTATTACTAATAGTAATAATGTTTTTTTTTTAATCGTATAAACTAAAAATTATCCTGTAATGTATATAATATAGTACTATAATACAACATATAATATAATAATATGGTACTCTGGGAATGTGAAACGGCTTACCATGAATTGAAACCTGTAGTTGAAAACCACAAAATAAAACAATAGTTCTACAGTAAGTCAAATTAAGTACAATATTCACTATAATGCTTTATTCTGCTTTATTGTTTTTTAATTGCACTTTAATATTTTTTCAACATTTATATATAATACCTCTCATATATTTGTTTATGTTCTGCATCATCTCCAAATTATTAGTTTAAACTATAATCAATGTGGATTTTAAAAGAGATAGGTCATTTCATTGTTAGAGATGGCTTTTTAAAAGATTTTTTTTTTGGGGGGGGATGCACAATTAATTGTGTTCTGGTAGTCCACCGCTGGATGCCTCACTTTCATAAGATATGAGGGGCGGAGAGGAGGGAAGACGAGACGGGGAGGCAGGGAAGGGAGGGAGGGAGGAGGCGATGGAAACGTAAGGGCTTGATTATTATGCAGTCAGTGAGACTCAGTGAGAGAGAGAGAGAGAGAGAGAGAGAGAGAGAGAGAGAGAGAGAGAGCACCGGCTCGGATCCTCCAGTCTCGTCCTGTCTTCCCTCTCCACTTCAGATTGGAGGTGACAGGTGACGAGCAGTCGGTCTGTCTGTCTGTCCGTCGGACTCCAGCAGCGGATGTTCTTGGTCGGGCTTCTTCCCACCGCGGCGAGGCTGGACGGATAAACACCGACCATGTCGCTGGAACCGGAGGGGAACAACCGGCTCCTGCAAGACGTGCTGGCGAGACCGGGCAACGGAACGTGCGCGGACTGCGGCAATCCAGGTAGGCAACCCACCCAACCCCGCCGAGTCGAGCCGGTGGTCCCGGTGTAAGCCGGTGCATGCAGCCGCAGTTGCTCTAATGCGTGTAAGATGCTGTGTTCAAGGGGTGGGGGGTAGCCAACCGGTGCTCCAAAAACCCAAACATGTCTCAGTGAAATTTGGTCCAGAAATTATTTCTAAGGCCTGGCAGGACACATCTACACCCATTTTTTTTTTGCAGGTATAATAAGGCCTAAAGAGACTGGACTCTGGACTTAGTCAGAGCCATAACCACATAAAACACTCCTGTTGTGTGTGTGTGTGTGTGTGCGTGGGTGTGCACAGACATGTCAACTTTCCCCTCCACAGCTATTTTGTGTGTGTGTGTGTGTGTGTGTGTGTGCGTGGGTGTGCACAGACATGTCAACTTTCCCCTCCACAGCTATTTTGTGTGTGTGTGTGTGTGTGTGTTCAGTGTGTGTTTGCTGGTGTTGTGGTCTGTTGTCATCATGTTCTACACTGTCAGCAACACCACACAGCCTGCTCACTAATTATTGGTGTGTGCATGTTTGTTTTTCACTTAAATGGCCCTATTTTATTTTATTTTTCAACCAGGGCTATGTTATTCTCCATTAAGCAGCTTCATCCTTTTCTTCATCTCTCCATCCTTTCTCTCTCTCTCTCTTTATCCTCCCCCCTGCGCGCCTCCCCTCAAATCCCCTCTCTCCCCTCCTTTTTCTTCTCACTGAAAAATGGCAATAAACCAGTGAGTGGCCACAGAGGCTCCAGTCCGGGCCGTGCGCCCAGCGCTTGGTGCCGAGCCCGCCCAGGATGCCTGTTCCTTGGCCCTGGTTACGGCTCCTCTGAGGACTGGCTGTTTGGGAGCAGCTTCTGGAGCCGAAGGCGCCCTCGCGGAATTAGATAGCATTGTTCTGAGCGGAGGACACTTGAAGAGGGATTTCATTTTGTACAGAGGATGTTATCTCGTTGTGAAATGAGCAGAGAGAAATGGCGTTCAGCATGGTGGGTGCTGTGTGTGTGTGTGTGTGTGTGTGTGTGTGTGTGTGTGTGTGTGTGTGTGTGT